GAAGGGGGTGGAGAGTCCCCAACAAGTTTTAAATACAGTACAGCATGCAGAAAGAATCCAATATCAAGCCTGACTGAAGAAGTTGATTAAATTAGTTCAATTTAAAAGCCTAAACAAACCCTGAAGGTGGCTCCTTTGTATCCTGCTAAATCATTTACTACCCGAGAAGAACTGAACGGGCGCAAAATATTCATTCATTAAATCTTCCATAAATTTCCACTCGGTATTTGGCTGCAGCCACAATATTACTTAGAAGTCATTACATGCCGTTCATTTGGCGCCTGCTGTTTGGATGAGGTCCGGGCATTTCACACCACTTCTTGCCTGCTTCGCTCGCAAATTATTTGGAAGTTGTTGCAAAGGGCAGTCAAATTTCTTTCGACGAAGCAGGCCTGGGGGCCAGAGCTCAGCGACGGAGCATCTGCCTTGCATGGTGTGATGGCCTGGGATTCCGATTCGGAGGATGAAACAGAGGAATCCCAGCCTGCACAGGAGTCCCCGCCTCCAGGGCCGGCTGAACTGGGGCAAGGCCTGGATTCTGAGGAGCCTGCACCTGTGCCAGATCCTCAGGAGCAGGCACCAGGTGAATCCATTCTGGCCCCAGAGGTGCTTGAGGACTCAGTGTCTACAGGTGAGCCTCCCCCGGGGCCCAGTAACCCTTCGGCCTCTCCTGAACTGCAGAGGCTTAGGGCAGAGAGGCGAAGGGAACTGGTTTCTCCCAGGAGGAGTGCTCGCCTTAAGGCCAGGAGAGGCGGGGCTCCTGGGGGCCGGGGCCGCCCCTAGCCTTAGAGAAGATAAAGGCCAGTCAGCCCAGTCCCAGGTTGCGGGAGCAACGTCGTTATTGAAGAGCTGTTTCGGCCAGCATCCAGTCCTGTTCCTCCAGTGTTCCTGTCCCCGCCCGGCTCCCTGCTTCGGACCTCGCCTCGCATCTTGTGAACTACTACCAGGCTAGTGACTCAGGACTGAGCTTTGACTACGGTAACAGTACCCCCCCCCCCCCCCCGGGACCAGCACACATGCAGAACGTCCCCAATTCAATCCTCGCCATCTCCAGTCAGGACTGGGAAAAGCTCATGCCTTGAAAGAAAACATTATGAAAATGATATACAGGTGGTACATGACCCCAGTCAAGCTTGCTAAGATATACCATTTGTCTGATAACAAATGTTGGAAGTGTAAGGAGGCTGAAGGAACATTCTTTCACCTTTGGTGGACTTGCCCAAGAGTGAAGGCCTTCTGGGAAATGATCTACAACGAGTTAAAAAAGGTGTTTAAGTACACCTTCTCTAAAAAACCGGAGGCCTTCCTCTTGGGTATTGTCGGCCAAAAGGTGTTAAAGAAGGACAGAACGTTTTTTATGTATGCTACCACAGCAGCAAGAATTTTGATCGCCAAACATTGGAAGACTCAAGATTTACCCACGCTGGAAGAGTGGCAAACGCAACTGATTGACTATATGGAGTTGGCCGAAATGACTGCCAGAATCCGAGACCTGGGAGAAGAAGCAATGGAGGAGGACTGGAAAAAATTTAAGAACTATTTACAAAAATTTTATAAGTTATATGAACTATAAAATGACGCACAATTTGAAATGCTAGCCCCAGCAACGAGAGTGCAATATTTATGAAATTGGATAATATTATTGAAAGAATCAAAGTTTAAATGTTAAGAATGATAATATGTTTTGTTTTTAGGGTAAATGGACAATAAGGGGTTTAAATTTAAATTGCAATTGAAAGTACCAAAGAAACACATGAAACAAGGTTACAATTTGCTGATAAATTTATTATTAAGAATGCATTGTGCGGGAGATGTGGGGAAGTTTGATGGGAAGTTGGAATAAGCTGTTGAAGGGGTATGATTTTTCTTTTTTCTTTTACATTTTTCGTTTATTTTTTCTCTTATTGTTTTCTGTCTGTGTCTGAAAAATGCAATAAAAATTATTTAAAAAAAAAAAAAAAGGACTGGGAAAAGCTCCCCGTCTGAAACCTTGGAGAGCCTCTGCCAGTCAGAGTTGCCAGTACTGAGGTAGATAGACCAATGGTCTTAACTGGTAGAAGGAAGTTTCCTATGTTCCTCTGGTTGTTTACCCAGAAGCTCGTAAGCTATGGCAAGCAAATGTACTGTACCACTGTACAGAGGAAAAACCTGCTTATTTTGCAGGTTAACAGCCTTCTTAAATTGTGACGCTCAGAACTGGACAGAGTATTCCAGGTGGGGCCTGACCAAGACAGAATACAGTGGTACCTCGGCTTAAGTACTTAATTCATTCTGGAGGTCCGTTCTTAACCTGAAACTGTTATTAACCTGAAGCACCACTTTAGCTAATGGGGCCTCCTGCTGCCGCTGCGCCGCCGGAGCACGATTTCTGTTCTTATCCTGAAGCAAAGTTCTTATCCCGAGGTACTATTTCTGGGTTAGCGGAGTCTGTAACCTGAAGCATATGAAACCTGGAGCGTCTGTAACCAGAGGTACCACTGTAGAGTGGTCCACAGTGGCTGCCAGAGATTCTCCGGGGGGGGGGGGGCGGAGTGGTAGGAGGGCGCATTTCCGGCCCTATCTGAAAATGCCAGGATTTGAACCTGGGACCTTTCTGCCTCCTCTGCAGCACCTGGGTTTTGGACTCCAACTCCCATCAACCCCAGCCAGAACACCTGATGGGAGTCCAAAAGATCTAGGCTGCAGATAGATGGTACTCCGAGGTTATTTAGCAAATGCGTCATATGGTGTCGGGCAACGCATCACATCAACATAAACTAGGCACAATTCAGCATCTCCGTGAAGCCTCCAGCTGCAAACCAGTCATTACAGCACTCAATAAAAACTCTTCCCTTTTGACCCAAGCGGATCATGATTCACTTGCCTCTGTGAATCCCTTCTCCCCTCCTTGCCAAAAATGAATTACAAACCACACTGTAAAAGCAGAGTTGGGGAAGGGGGCGGCTAATTCACACACACACACACATACTGCCTCCATGTGAATTTCCTGGATTCATGGCTAGCTCAATTTTCAGATTCGTTTTCTTTTTTTCAGTATGTCCGTATGTGCTCGCATGAGATAAGTTTCAGGAAAGGAGGACAGATGTTGACCTGAGAGCTCATGCACAGGTGCTGGCAAAAGATTGCTACATGCACAGCTATTTATCTTTATTTATTCATTCAATTTCCATCCCGTCTTTCCTCCCAAAGGAGGGCAGGGAGGCAAACACAACCATAATAAAACAGTTTTTAAAACATTGCAATTTTTTTATTTTGGAGGGGGTAAACATTATTTGGCTGGAGAAACGGATCACAGAGCCGCCGACTGCACTGGCTACCGATTAGTTTCCGGTCCAAGTCAAAGTGCTGGTTTTGACCTGTAAAGCCTTAAACAGCTCAGGACCGCAATACCTCAAGGACCGCCTCTTTCCATATGAACCTAGCCAGATGCTGAGATCATCTTCTGAGGCCCTCCTTTGTGTGCCTCCTCCTCGAAATGTCCGGAGGGCGGCAACACAGGAACAGGGTCTTCTCTGCAGTGGCTCCCCGTCTGTGGAATGCTCTCCCCAGGGAAGTTCACCTGGCGCCTTCATTATACACCTTTAGGCGCCAGGCAAAAACATTCCTTTTTAACCAGGCCTTTGGTTGACCTGATCAACACCCTATACCCTTTAAAATGTGGCTCTTTAGAGGGGGCAGACGTTATTGGGTAATTGTTTTTATTTTGATTTTATATATTGTGATCTTTTTTGTGAATCGCCCTGAGACCTCTGGGTATAAAAGGTAAAGGGACCCCTGACCATTAGGTCCAGTCGTGGCCGACTCTGGGGTTGCGGTGCTCATCTCGCTTTATTGGCCAAGGGAGCGGGCGTACAGCTTCCGGGTCATGTGACCAGGATGACTAAGCCGCTTCTGGCGAACCAGAGCAGCGCACGGAAACGCCGTTTACTTTCCCGCCGGAGCGGTACCTATTTATCTACTTGCACTGGTGTGCTTTCGAACTGCTAGGTTGGCAGGAGCAGGGACCGAGCAACGGGAGCTCACCCCGTCGCGGGGATTCGAACCGCTGACCTTCTGATCGGCAAGCCCTAGGCTCTGTGGTTTAACCCACAGCGCCACCCACGTTCCTCTGGGTATAGGGCGGTATATAAATTCAATAAATGAATGAATGAATCAAATTTCTCCTCCACCCCTACAGCAATCCTGAGCTATGGCCCTTCTACACTGAAGTTATTTTTGCGGTGGCAGATCGTTTCAGCCCGACGTAGCCTGCCAGTGATCAAAATTTGCAGGTAGAACAGAGGCACAACTCCACCTGGTACGCAGGCTGAGACCCTACCTGCCCACAGACTGTCTCACCAGAGTGGTGCATGCTCTAGTTATCTCCCACTTGGACTACTGCAATGCGCTCTACGTGGGGCTACCTCTGAAGGTGACCCGGAAACTACAACTAATCAAGAATGCGGCATGTAGACTGGTGACTGGGACTGGACGCCAAGACCACATAACACCGGTCTTGAAAGACCTACAACTGGCTCCCAGTACGTTTCCGAGCACAATTCAAAGTGTTGGTGCAAACCTTTAAAGCCCTAAATGGCCTCGGCCCAGTATATCTGAAGGAGTGTCTCTACCCCCATCATTCTGCCCGGACACTGAGGTCCAGCTCCGAGGGTCTTCTGGCAGTTCCCTCACTGCGAGAAGCAAAGCTACAAGGAACCAGGAAGAGGGCCTTCTCGGTAGTGGCACCCATCCTGTGGAATGTGACATTCAGAAGATATCTTAAGGCAGCCCTGTTCAGGGAAGTTTTTAATATGTGACATTTTAGTGTATTTTTAGTCTCTGTGGAAGCCGCCCAGAGTGGCTGGGGAAACCCAGCCAGATGGGCGGGGTACAAATAATAAATTATTATTATTATTATTATTATTATTATTATTATTATTATTATTATTATTATTATCCCTAGACTACTAAGCAGAAGATCTTGGCCAACGTCGCCGTATCAAGATGCCAGACTTACTTACCATTGGGAGGCATCAGAACTTTGTTGTTCTGGGTGCACCAACCCACAGGGTGGAGATCGGCTGTCATCACGTCGCACCAGAAATCAGCTCTGCGGTCGTCTTCGTAGCCGCAGTAACGCAGCAGCAAGAGCTGCCCGCATGTGGTGATGATGGTTGCCACCCAGTAGGTCTCTGGGTTGTGTTTGTTGGCCACCTCTAGCTTCATGCCGGGTTGGAAACTGCTCTGCAGGCTGACTTCCACCTTCCCAAAAAGGAGAAAGAAACAGGGTTGCTTTGGCTTAAGGAACAGGAAGGAAGCAAGATACGATTCCTCTAGAACTCCAGCAGGTGCAGAATGCCGTGGCGAGGCTCCTTACGGGGTCCTTGCTGCAGGATCACATTCATCCAGTGCTTTACCAACTGCACTGGCTCCCGATGGAGTACAGGGTCAGGTTTAAGGTGCTGGTTTTGACCTTTAAAGCCCTATGCGGCCTAGGACCCACATACCTACGGGACCGCCTGGTATGCACCACGGAGGACCTTAAGGTCCACAAATGACAACACCTTGGAGGTCCCAAGTCGCAAGGTGGTTAGATTGGTCTCAACTAGGGCCAGGGCCTTTTCAGTACTGGCCCCGACTTGGTGGAGCGCTCTGTCCCAAGAGACTAGGGCCCTGCGGGACTTGACATCTTTCCGCAGGGCCTGCAAGACAGAGCTGTTCCGCCTGGCTTTTGGTTCAAACTCAGTCCGAGCCTTATGTCTTCCCTCCCCTTACGGTTTTGATTTACAGTGGTACCTCAGGTTACAGACGCTTCAGGTTACAGACTCCGCTAACCCAGAAATATTACCTCGGGTTAAGAACTTTGCATCAGGATGAGAACAGAAATCGTGCTCCGGCGGCATGGCAGCAGCGGGAGGCCCCATTAGCTAAAGTGGTGCTTCAGGTTAAGAACAGTTTCAGGTTAAGAATGGACCTCCAGAACGAATTAAGTACTTAACCCGAGGTACCACTGTATGGGCTACTTTTAAAATGAGGCTGCTTTTTAAATTGCATTTTAACCTGTATTTTAAATTGGGTTTTTGTTTTGTTTTGTTTTCCCCCTATTATGTTTCTATTGTAATTTTACTGGTGTTAGCCGCCCTGAGCCCAGCTCTGGCCAGGGAGGGCAGGGTATAAATAAAATTTTTTATTATTATTATTATTATTATTATTATTATTATTATTATTATAACAGCCTTTACAAATGTGCAGGTCTAAATGTTTCTAGACCTAGTACTGTCTGACGCTGTTTTCCTTCCCGCTGCAGTGGTACATCTATTTATCCACTTGCACTGGCGTGTTTTTAAACTGCTAGGATAGCAGGAGCTGGGACAGAGCAATGGGCGCTCACACTGCTGTGGGGATTCGAACCGTCAACCTTCCAATCAGCAAGCCCAAGAGGCTCAGTGGTTTAGACCACAGCGCTACCTGTGTCCCTTCTCACAGTGGTTAACCATAGGCCTGTGGGCTTCCCACAAGCAAGACCTGAGAGCAACAGCACTCTCAGGTGCACTCTGAGCAACCGGTATTCAGAAATATACTGCCTCTGGCAGAGGTGCTAAAACATAGCCTTATCCTCCGTGAATTTGTCTAACACACTGAAAAGCCATTCGCATTGGTGGGCATCGCTACCTCTCATGGGAGCGGATTCCAGTGTCTAACTAGGCACCATGTTTTCAAGCAGTGTTCGAAATTAGCCAAGTGCCAGGCGCATTTTGCACCTGGTTTTCGACCACCTGCCACCAAGAGAAGATGTCTGGGTGCCAGGATTGTGCCTGACATCTCCACCATCTGGGGATCACTGGATCTGGACTGTTTCCACACACTCATATCCCATCCTGTAGAAATCTATCTGTTATATTTTATCTGCACAGTCAGAATTTCTGGAGCAGGAGAAGTCACCATTAAGAAAAAGAGGTCAGAATGGGCCAATATTCATGTGAACTGTCCCTGGATCAAGTGACTTCTCTTCTTTAGGTTCTCAAAGTTCTCAACCGAGCTCTAGGTTGTCATCTGAACTTGCCATCGTTTAACTGAGAATCAATCCCAGTCATTTAAAAAGTAAGACTTTAAAGCTGTTTTGCCCCCAAAATGGCAACTAGACAGTAAACCAGTTGTGGCAACTGGTTTAAGGAGCCATTTGGCACCCGGTGGAGATATCTGAGTTTCTAACACTGTTTGCAAGGTTTCATCATTGGTAATGAGGACCGGAAACTCCAGGCAAAAAATACCTACGTGCTTAAACGAAGTGTGAGGAGCAGCAGAAGATCCTGTCTCTTCCAAGTATTCATCCCAGTTGAAATCAACGTCTTCAGAATTTGAACTTTCATCTGCTTAATAAAAAACAAAAAGACACATGTTATGTGTTCAAGCCAGCAATGAGGTCTCGTGTTGTACAGGTTATGTGAGAAAATGAAGAATAAGCAAACAGGCTCATTAGAAGCAGATTTGAATAGTTTTAATTAGTTGCCTTTCAATCACTTGCTTCTCTAATACGTTTAGTGGCACAACTTCAGCTGTTTATCAGCTCTGGAACTTAGTCAACTCTGTCTACTCCACGAAAAGGTGGGCTTCTGTTAGGGCAGCCTTTTCTACATCATCAAAAAAAGAGGGAATGTATCGCCACAGGAAAGAAAGGAGAAAGGCACGAAAGATCTGCATAAATTTTGTGTGTGCTAATGTACAGTGGTACCTCTGGATACGAACGGGATCCATTCCGGAGCCTCATTCACATCCTGAAGTAAACATAACATGTGCATTGGTCGCATTTCGCCACTTCTGCGCATGCGCGTGACATCAAAATGAGCGTCTGCGTATGCGCGAGCGGCGAAAACCGGAAGTAACGCGCTCTGTTACTTTCGGGTCGCCACAGAGCGCAACCCGAAAATATTTAACTTGAAGCTACTTCAACCCGAGGTATGACTGTACATGTATAGATTCAATTTTAAAAATAAAATAAATCTACAATTTAAATCAGCATAAGAGCATAAGAAGAGTCTGCTGAATCAGGCCAATGGCCCATCTAGTCCAGCACCATGTTCTCACAGGGGCCAACCAGATGCCTGTGGGAAACCCGCAAGCAGGATTCGAACACAAGACCCCCCCTCCCCTCCTACGGCTTCCAGTGACTGGTATTCAGAAGTATGGAGGCAGAGCACACTAGCAGCCTGAGATGGTCCTCTCCTCCATGAATTTGTCTAACCCTCTCTTAAAGCCATCTATGCTGGTGACCAGGGACGCGGGTGGCGCTGTGGGTTAAACCACAGAGCCTAGGGCTTGCTGATCAGAAGGTCGGCGGTTCAAATCCCCACGACGGGGTGAGCTCCCGTTGCTCGGTCCCTGCTCCTGCCCACCTAGCAGTTTGAAAGCACGTCAAAGTGCAAGTAGATAAATAGGTACCCCTCCAGCGGGAAGGTAAACGGCATTTCCGTGCGCTGCTCTGGTTCGCCAGAAGTGGCTTAGTCATGCTGGCCACATGACTCGGAAACTGTACGCCGGCTCCCTCGGCCAATAAAGCGAGATGAGCGCCACAACCCCAGAGTCGTTCACAACTGGACCTGATGATCAGGGGTCCCTTTACCTTTATGCTGGTGACCATCCCTGTGTCCAGTGGGAATTCCATAGTTTAACTATGCACTGTGAGAAGAAGTACTTTCAAAATGCGCTATGTCTCACCGGGTGGTTGGGGAAAGCAGTGACCATGTGGGCCTGCTGCCCAGGAGCTGAGCATTGATGAGCAACTTCACATACCCCACTTTCCTTAACATTTTGTGAGAACTTTTAATAATAATAATAATAATAATAATAATAATAATAATAATAATAATAATTGCAAACTGATGCAGGGAAGCGAATATAAAATTGGGAAATGGAGAGCAACCAAAATGAACAGATTTCTCCATCCCTGTGAATTAGCTGTATTTATTTATATCCCAGCTCTTTTCCGATTGCTCAGGGCAGTGTGTTACTGTTCTCCCTGGTCTGTCACTAATCACAACATCCCTGTGAGGTAGGCTAGGCCAAGAGTTTGGGATTGGCTCAAGGTTGCCCAGCGACCTTCACAGCTAAGTAGGGACTTGAATCTAGTCACGAACGGCTCCTTCAAACACTTATTGGCTGGCTTTTTTCTTGCCCACGTACGACCAGTCTGGATAGTTGGCCTTGGTGAAGATTTGACGTTTTCATCCCCAAAAAGTTTTTGATTTGAGTTTCTACTGAAATGAGGCTGCATTTTAATGGTGTACTTTAATCTTATTTTTAAGTTGTATTTTAATCAATTGTTTTTATATCTGGTGTTAGCCGCCCTGGGCCCGGTCTTGGCTGGGGAGGGCGGGGTATAAATAAAAATTATTTTTATTATTATTATTATTATTATTATTATTATTATTATTATTATCTTAACTGCTACAGCACACTGGCTCGTAAAGCTTAAAGGTAAAGGTAAAGGGACCCCTGACCATTAAGTCCAGTCGTGACCGACTCTGGGGTTGCGGCGCTCATCTCGCTTTATTGGCCGAGGGAGTACAGCTTCCGGGTCATGTGGCCAGCATGAATAAGCCACTTCTGGCGAACCAGAGCAGCACACGGAAACGCCGTTTACCTTCCCGCCGGAGTGGTACCTATTTATCTACTTGCACTTGACGTGCTTTCGAACTGCTAGGTTGGCAGGAGCAGGGACCGAGCAACAGGAGCTCACCCCATCGCGGGGATTCGAACCGCCGACCTTCTGATCGGCAAGTCCTAGGCTCTTTGGTTTAACCCACAGTGCCACCCGCGTCCCTTCATAAAGCTTAGCCAAAAATAAAAAGCCCACCTGAATCAAACTGTTCAGCATCCCTGTTGGCTATGTCTGTATTTTCGTCCAAGGAGAGGCGCCGAGTCTCAGTCATGCTGAAGATCACAGACCCTCTTGTCTCCATTGCTCAGAGAAAGGATTCTCTGAGCCCTAATTCATCATCACGAAGCACAGCCTTCCTGTGGCGAGAAAGAAGACGTTTCAGTAATCAATCTACATTTCCCTCCCCCTGCTCTCTTTCACATCACCTGGCCCTTGGAGCAAAAGATTATCTCCAGATATACTTGGAGCAAACCCACCCTAATTAATAGTCCTAACTTAAGTCATCATGCCCATTAACCTCAATGAATCTACTCAAGAGTACTACTAACATTGGCTTTTGTGACGAGATACCCTGAAGGCTTCTGGGTAATTTGTGGCAGAAGAGGATGGGGGGGCAGACCTTTCCCATATAGAAACACCTTCTGACTTCGCAGATTCTTAGAATCATAGAATTGCAGAGTTAGAAGGGATCTAGTCCAATCCCATCCGATCAAGTGTCCAGTCCTAGCCACGTGATCCAGGGCCCACGAATTTTGGCCGGCCTTGGCCAAACATTTGGGGTTCCCAGGTCCCTTATGGCCACCTGAGAGGTGAGTTTTGTTCCTAACTTTGTACCATTTCTCTAAAATTGAAACAACATCTCCCTCCGCAAAAAAATGCTTCATGTGGGGGGCAGAGAAATAAGCTATGGAAATTGCTGCCACTAATGGCGATCCCCGCCCACAAAAAACTGATGGGAGAATTTCTCCTCCCCTGAAGAAATTCAGTGGGGCAGCCCCTCTTGATTTCTCTGTCGACAAATAAACGTGGAGACACAGAATTCCCAGAGGTTGCTTGCACCCGTCTATCATTCATAAGAGGCGTCCCTTGACATTGCAGCTGTGGTATGATGGCCATGGGTGCATGACAAACTTGTCTCCTGCCCTCTCCCAACACTCCCAGACAGCCATCATCCCATGCAGGGGTCCCAATCGCCAGGCTAACCAGCTTGGGGGTCCCTCCTGCTTCCAGCTTTAGGTGCAAGCCCCAGCCCCCCTCTGAAGTTTGGAACCGCCTCCGACGCAAGGTTTCTATGACTGTTGTTGTCAAAGGTTATACAGTGGTACCTCTGGTTGCGAACGGGATCCGTTCTGGAGGCCTGTTCGCAACACGAGCAGAACGCAACCCGCGTCTGCGCGGGTCGCGATTCGCCGCTTCTCTGCATGCGCATGACGTCATTTTCTGCGTCAGCGCATGCGGCGAAACCCGGAAGTAACCCGTTCCGGTACTTCCGAGTCGCCGCAGGAAGCAACCTGAAAACGCTCAACCTGTTATACATTTATAAAGAAAACAGAAGCATTTTTACTAGGCATTGTTGGGCGTGATATAAATAGAAATGAATGTAAGCTCTTTTTATATGCAATAACAGCAGCAAGAATATTATTGGCCCAAAAATGGAAACAAGAAGAATTACCAACGATTGAAGAATGGAGGATGAAGTTAATGGACTATGCAGAACGAGATAAACTAACAGGAAGGATTCGAAACCGGCGGGACCAGAAATTCACGGAAGACTGGAGTAAATTTACGAACTATCTGAAAAGTATTTGTGAAGATCAGACGACGTTTGTAGGTTTGCAAGAAGTTTTGTGAGGAGTATTATTGGAAGTATTGCAAAAATGGATAAGGGGGAGGATGATTTGTTAAGAGATGTAAAGGCAATATAAAGTTAGGTAAAGGTAAAGGTACCCCTGCCCGTACGGGCCAGTCTTGCCAGACTCTAGGGTTGTGCGCTCATCTCACTCTATAGGCCGGGAGCCAGCGCTGTCCGCAGACACTTCTGGGTCACGTGGCCAGCGTGACAAGCTGCATCTGGCGAGCCAGCGCAGCACACGGAACGCCGTTTACCTTCCCGCTGGTAAGCGGTCCCTATTTATCTACTTGCACCCGAAGGTGCTTTCGAACTGCTAGGTTGGCAGGCGCTGGGACCGAGCGACGGGAGCGCACCCCGCCGCGGTGATTCGAACCGCCGACCTTTCGATCGGGAAGTCCTAGGCGCTGAGGCTTTAACCCACAGCGCCACCTGCGTCCCAATCTGAAAACGGCATACGGCTCTGCATTATCACGGAACTCGAACCCACGGCTTCAAGTTACAAGAAAGGAGATTGCAACCAAACATCAGGAAGATGCTCTTTCTGACAGTAAGAGCTGTTTGACAGGGGGGACGGTCTCCTCACGAGGTGGTGGGCTCTCCTTCCGTGGAGGTTTTTAAGCAGAGGTTGAATGGCCATCTGTAAATGCAGTTTGTTGCAGTTTTTGAGCCGAGAATAGTACTGCAAGATGATGATGGCGATGATTTCTGGACTGCCCTTCATCCGAGGATCACAGGGTGGTTTACAATATAAAACCACAAAAATGCATAACATAGTAATAAAACATTTACAAAGCCACTCCTCCTTTGTTGGTGTGTCTTGAGATTTCCATTCAGGTGAGTATTTAGAATTGGCAAAATTAACTTCAATTATAAGATATCAAACAAATCAAAAGTTAAGAATGGAGTGGAAGTATTTCGAAGATTGTATGTCAAAATATTGTTCTGAAAATGACATGCTAATGGGCTTAGAATAAAAAATGTAAGCAATAACAAAACCAATAAAGAAAGAAGGGAAAAAATCAGAATGTAACAAAAATAATTTATTATAGAATACAAGGGGAAAAGGTAGAAAGAAATATAAAGAAGTCGAATTGCTGTGGAGGGAAGTGGAGGGTGTTGCAGCTGTTGTAATTTAGATGTTATATTTTATGTGAGGGAATCATTGGGAATTTTGGTTATTATGTATATATGTTAAGTTTCAATAAAGATCTTTGGGGCGAAAAAACATAGTAAAAAAACAAAAACATTAACACACACACATGCACCCCACACATTTTAAAAGGCCATGGATTATTTAATTAGCCAACGGCCCAAGAGAAAAGAAAAGTTTTTTGAGAGCAATGAAGGATCCATAAATAAAAATCATGTTCTGCTATGTGTTTCAGTCCAGGAGATACAAATTAATTTGGATAAAAAGGCCGGTCAAACGAAACACAGTTGGCGGAGCACGAGATTCTTTGTCTCGAGGTTGTGGGTTCGAGCCCCGCATTGGGCAGAAAGATTCCTGCCTTGCAGGGGGTTGGACTAGATGACCCTCGTGGTCCCTTCCAGCTCTAGGATTCTATGATTCCAATGCATTTGCTATCCTAATACATCCCAAAGAAAACCTATTTCTCCATGAATTCATTGAGCTGAATTACTCGCACCCTCCCAGAGCAGGTTTAATAATCGAAGTTTTTAAAGCAATGTATATGCAGCCAAGGATGTAGCAGATTTTCTGCGTCGGCTAGGTGTCTTTTTGGTCCATTTCAAAGCATAGGATTCTATAAACCCCAATATACCATAACTGACTTCTGTTAACCGCTAGCTATTTTGGCTCCAGTTTAAAAAAGCACCCCTTCTACCTGCGAAATGAAGTTTGGACTGTAGCACACATTATGAAGGCCGTCACTCAGGTTTTAAGGAGTCTTTAATCAAGCGTATGAATTTTGTTTCATTCATTGAGGGATTCAATTTGCATACATTTACATGCAGGTGAAAACAATAGTTTCAAAGCAAGGAGTGTGGTTGCTTTTTAAATGACTTATGGAAAGTGATCCCTTAGAATGGGAGACAAGCTATCTTAACCACAGCAATCCACATGGAAATGGAGAAGAGGCAGGTGGATTTCAAGAAATCTGAAAAGGGTGTGCATAGGATAGTAAGAAGCAAAAGAGAACCGGGTTCACCTCTGCTTACAGTTGCACATGGCACAGAAAACCTCCACTGGTGAAGTTTGTCATTAAGGGTGTGTGTGTGAGAGAGAGAAATCTACACATGAAATTTCCCCTTCAAGAAATAAGGTAAAGGTAAAGGGACCCCTGACCATTAGGTCCAGTCGTGGCCGACTCTGGGGTTGCGGCGCTCATCTCGCTTTATTGGCCGAGGGAGCCGGCATACAGCTTCCAGGTCATGTGGCCAGCATGACGAAGCTGCTTCTGGCGAACCAGAGCAGCGCACGGAAATGCTGTTTACCTTCCCGCCAGAGCGGTACCTATTTATCTACTTGCACTGGTATGCTTTTGAACTGCTAGGTGGGCAGGAGCAGGGACCGAGCAACGGGAGCTCACCCCGTCGCGGGGATTCGAACCACTGAACTTTCTTATCGGCAAGCCCTAGGCTGTGTGGTTTAACCCACAGAGCCACCTGCATCCCTAGCTTCAAGAAATACACAGAATTAATTTGTTTCCAAGCACAATTCTAAGTACGCAGCTTGAAAAGCGCTTCTACGGCTTGAGAACAGGGTACCTGAGGGAGCTTATGTTATGTTGTGTCATTTGAACACATTTTATTAATTTCTTTCCAAGTTGATATTAAAAATTACAGGAAAATAAAATAAACAATAGTACCGTTTGTTATAAAGAAACATTCATCCTTAAATGAAAACTAAAATAAAGAAAAGACTGGGCTGTTCCTCCCTAGGTGTAAAAAAAAAAAAAAAGGCAGAGATGCCTCTTTTAAAATGGGGACTTCCTAAAAATGTATAATCAGCTGAAAGGATGCCCATAGTTAACCATGTTTATGATACACAAAACCAATTAATAGAATAAGCATTGCAGAATATTACAAAATATTGTGCCACTTCGGGGGAAAATGAGTTCCTTTTCCTCTCTCTCCCCCCCCTTCCACTCTCTTAAGAACCGACTAAAAGAACTTGGAGGAATCCTTTTCCACCCCTAACATTCCTGCGCTGTCCTTTTCTAGTTTTTAATTTAATATCGGCAAGCATTTGAAGTGGTGAATCTTTACTGATAACTCATGTGCTTTTAACAAAAAATAAAAGAAGGCGTGTGGTGGTTGGGAAATTTTAGACTCTGGACTTACGGATGGGCTTATGGGGGAGGGGCAACACTTTAGACATTAATAAGGGTTATTTGAACATGTGATTAAGCCAGCCCTGTGTTGCAGGGGGGTTCTGCCCATTCTGCTGAGCCCCAGACTTCTGCGCTATACCCCCCACCCTGATGGCGCCGCTGAAAGCAATCACAGGATCATAGAAATTTACAGTAGGAAGGGAGAACAAGGGTCATCTACTCCAACTCCCTGCAATGCCCAGGGCAGGACTCGAACCCACAACTCTGAGATTAAGAGTCTCGTGCTCTACCGACAGAGCTCTCCATCCTTACCCAGCAGAATCCCCAGAGATCCTTGCAGAGGTTGTGTTCAGCCCGAAGAACCAAAAATATATTCTACCCCCATGTGAGCGGTCCCCTCTGGAATCAGCAGGAACTCTGGGGTAGAAAGAGGTAGGTAGCCATGTTGGTTTGCCGTAGTTGAAACAAAATAAAAAAATTCCTTCCAGTGGCACCTTCGAGACCAACTAAGTTTGTTACTGGTATGAGCTTTCGTGTGCATGCAAACGTATCTGAAGAAGTGTGCATGCACACGAAAGCTCATACCAATAACAAACTTAGTCGGTGTCTAAGGTGCCACTGGAAGGAATTTTTTAATTTTGTTTGGACCAGGGTAGAAAGTCCTTTTTCACAGATACAATTCCCACACGCCTTCCCAAAAAGCTTTTATTCTGCAATGACTTGCAGCTATTTAATTAGCCACACGTCCGGACCACGTTTGCTTTGAAAATTGGATTGCTGCCGCAAGCCCTTTCTTGTCACTCCAATAGAAACAGTATTATCTCCTCTGTCCTCCTTTGGCTATGCCGAGATTCGAACACAGAGCCTCGGGGTGAGATGCTCGAGGCTTTGTGGTCTTGGAAAGACTTGCTCACAAAGGTGTGTCTCAGCCTGACTCCTCCACCCAACTTTCACAGATTCTCTTTTGTCAACATTATCCTTTCTGGGATGAATTTCCCCTCCAGGCTCCCCTTCCAGCCACCATCCTCACACAAGGATGCTGTGAGGAGTCAACTACATAAATTTAAAGGCGCTGTGAGCCCAAAGGACCCACCCAGAAAAGAGGCTGCCCACTGTGTCTCTGCGATGAGTTACCGTTCTGAACTTGCTTCCTGAAAACCAGCTGATTTGAGAGGTGGGCGGATTCTGCTGCCTTACTGTATTAGGTGTGACTCTGTCACTC